GATGTGATGTGCTCTGATTCTGATTCAATTGAGTCTTTTTGTAGTCATTCTGGAACGCCGGCAATAATGTGTGCACACAAACAGGCGTCTGGATTTTTGTATCCACTTGAAAAAGGTTTCGTCTATGTGCATAAACCACCGATGTATATTCGTTTCGAAGAGGTATGTTGATATATTGCAAAAATTGTTTGGTTTTAGTGAAAGAGGAGTTTGAAATGTGAGTTTAATGAATGGACTTAATGAAGGAAGGGATCGATTTGTGAAAGTAAGGTAAGCCGTTGTGGTTGCAGATCAGCAGTGTGAACTTTGCACGATCCGATGTGTCGACGAGATCGTTCGATTTTGAGGTGGAAATGAAAGGTGGAAGTACGTTGGTGTTCAACAGTGTGGAGAAGTTAGTTAGTCGTTTTTGTGTGGAAGTTATCGTTTGTGAATGACAATAAATATTGAATGAAGTGGATAAGAGAGGAATATAATACAATAATATTGAATAATAATAATGTAATACAATAAGTGAATACGATTGTAAATGGTGAAAGTGGATAAGTGATAACTTTTCAGAGAGGAATATAATCGATTGTTCGATTTTGTCAACAACAAACATCTGCGGATTCGAAACGCGAAACGACTGGATAAACCGAATTATTCGGAGGATAAATTCGCGGGCAGTGACGATGAGATCGATCCGTACAAAGAGACGGTGAAACAAGAGGCCAAAGACAAAGAGGCAGCAAACGACAACGATATGGACAGCGATAGTGAGGATGAGGACTACGACGTGGAAGCGGACGAGAAACGCAAAAAGCAGGACGCAGACTCGTCGGAGGGTTCGGGCTCAGAGCCTGAGGAGGAGTATGACAGCAATGCGGGCGATTCGAGTGAAGTGTCCGAAGATAGCGATATCACCGGCAAGAAGAAAGAGAAGAAACACAAAGAATCGAAACCAAAATCTGAGAAAAAAGAACACTCCGAGAAGAAAACGAAACGCGAAAAGAAGAAAAAGGATCCGAATGCGCCAAAGAAACCGCAGTCGGCGTATTTCCTGTGGTTCGGTGAGAACTATGCCACTTTCCGGAAGGAGGGCCTGTCAGCGCCAGAGGCAGCTCAACGTGCCGGGAAAATGTGGAAGGAAGAGGTGGATGCTGAAACGAAACAGGTGCGTTTTTAACTTGAAATCAGTGAAGTGTCACTTCAGTGTCATTGTTACTTTATACTTTACTGATGTTGTGGTTAAAATGTTGTCACTTTATCTCATCATTCATGCAGAAATACGAGAAGAAAGCAGCTGAAGATAAGGAACGATATGCGCGTGAGATGAAACAGTATGTGGAAAGTGGTGGGGCTGCATCTGCATCTGGAAGTTCTGTTCCGGCCAAGAAATCGAAGACATCGTCAGTTCTGTTTGAGTTGTTTTCTTTCAAATTAGAGAGTTTTAGAGTTATATTTTTAATGTTTGTCATGAAGCAATGGATAAATTTTGAATGAGATGGTATCATCGAACGCCTCATCTTTCAGGTCACCAACCAAATCGCCAGCAAAAGCGAAATCAAAGGAATACGTCTCAGATGACGATAGTGACTCATCGGAAAGTGATAATAAACCGCTGAAAAAGACTGAAAAGAAGGCAAAGAGTGAAAGCGAGGTGAGTGATATTTGTTTATGATAACATCAAAAAGATGATATTAGTTATCGAAGTTATTGACAAGAAAGTTGTATTTGAGTAGATATATGTGATTGGAAACTGGAGAAATGAAGAATTTGATCTGAGAGAGATGAAGGAATCATTTTGAAGTGATAGTGATAGGTTTTGATCGTATTCATGCGATTGGTGTGATTTCAGGAGTCTGAAATGAATTCGGGTGATGACGACAGCGATTAAATTGAACAGTGAAGTAGTTGATTGATAGCAGTCATCACTTTTATTTATCCATTTATCTGTGCGTTGTTTTATCTTATTTGTTTTACGTGCATGGGTTGTATTTGTTACAAAATCATGTTCATTTCGCAATATCCTTCATTGATTGTAACGTTACCTTGTTTTCTTTTTTTTTGTGTTTCTCTCTTTGCGATTCTGTTCATGAAGTTCTTTATCTTGAGTATTCTCTGCAGTAATCTGGCCTTCCACTTAGCCGGAAAGTCTTTAATTGTAAATTGTTCTCAACTGATTGCTGAGGTTTGAATTCCTCGAAAATGTGAATGATTTCGTTTCTTTTCTTTTAGTTCAATTTTCAGACGGTTTCATTTCGTCATCGCAATAAAATCTGTCCTCCAAATATTTATCGTTATACTATGATACTTGTGTGTTATCGAATTGATATCTCATATATTTTTGTTAAGCTGTTTGATGGTAATAATATATTCTGTTGATCTGTTAAGCTGTTTTCAATATCTGTTTTCAAGAACAAGTTTCCAATTTTAAATGGAGTTTGTTTGTGGCACAGCCTGAGGAAATAGATAATCGAAAGGCGTCATTCTATTAGCACTTTCATAAGCTTATCTATCGTATCTCATCTGATGGTTTATGATTACCTCTCTTGTACAATAGTTTGTTAATCATATTCATTATCTTGCGAAGCATACTCTGTTAATTCATATTCTGTTAATCATATTCATGCATTGTTACGGTTGATGGCTTAGGCATTATCATATTCACTATTCTTATGTTTCTATTTCCAAATGCTCTCAATTTTATCTAAAGAAATGTGTTCTTCTTGAGAATTTGACAAAAATCAATTGGTATTATATTTTTTGTAAGTATTTTTCCTGAATTCATGAAGTCTTTGTTTTGAACGTCGAATATGAGTAATTATCAATAAATATCTCGCTCGATTAGCCAAATGCATCGTTTTACTGTTGCAGAATATGAACACTTTGATCAGTGTATTAAATTTTGACATTTTCTTGTTACAATAGTTATGAATGATACAGTTTTTTGGTGAGGATTTCGTTGCGGTGATTATCATAAGGGTGGAGGTTGACATCTTAAAATGTTGGTGTATTGTACTGTTTCATGAATATTTTGGAGGTGTTCTGTGTAATAAACCTGATTTTCATTTATATTCCTTACAATTTATTTATATTCCTTGTGTTGGTTAAATTTATATACCTATATTCCTTACATTTATAATTATATTCATTGTTAGTGAATTAGACATCGTCACTGTTGGAAAGAAACTAATTGTTCAATTGGGTGTTCCTCAGCTTCAATCAGTCAGTCGCTCTCTGAGCTTAGAATGAGGGTAAGTCCTCTTCTATGGGCAAGAATATCAATTAGGTAACTGTCGTGAAAGCAATGGAAAAAGCATTGTGATAGAGTTTAGAAGTTTGTCGATTGCCAAGGGAATCATCACCTCATTTGCTGATTTTCCCCCAGCAGTGGTGATATTAGCCATGCTGAGAAACTTGGCTTATTGTTAGTCAAATACATTTCCTCAGTGTATTACTATTGGGTTGACTTACTCATTGAGTATGCGCTGCAACGAGATTATTATGCCACAACCGAATCTCACAACGAAAGTGAAGCGATCGTACGATTTGTGAATTGTGAATGAATTCTTTCACAATTGTATTATCGATGGATTTCTAAGCATTTTAATTTATTGAAATCGTTGAATTACAGAAGTTTGCCTAGTTTTCTGTTATTCTCGATTTATCGAACATTAAAGAAATAGTTCAAGACCAATGTTCATCAGAATTATTGTTGTATTCTGTAACTTTTGAGGCGAACTCGCCGATTTGCGATTAGTTTGGTGTTGTGTTTCATTTCGTTAACAAAATGGAGTGAACTTGGACGACTATTTATTCTAGGCATCATTTATATTTGTGTTGCCCGAAGCAATTTGCTTGGAGTGATTCATGTGAAGAGTTATAATGCTCGACCACTTCATTTATTTGATCAATTGGTAATTTTCAGAGAGGTAAATAATTAGAAACATTATCAGTAATGGACAAGCCAATTAAACTTGCAAAGGTAAC